GGGCAAAAGTGTTCATACAGTATTCAGGTAACAGAAAGGATGATGTCACTGTGTAGGGGAGAGAGGGATCAGAGTGGAGAGAAGGAAATGAAGTCAGAAAAGAAATGGAGACCTCTGATTGCTAGGGTTTTGGAGGCATTTTAAGGACTTTGGCTTTTGCTTTGAGTAAGCCATTGAAGAGGCTTGGGTGATATTATCTGACTTACGTTTCCACAGGATCTCTCTTGGATATCATTTTGATTAGAGATTGTAGGAAATTAAGGACAAGATTGCGGAGACTAGGCTGGGCGCATTGGCTCACACCAGTAATCTCAGCACTTTGGGAGGCTGAGGCGGGTGGATCATGAGGTCAGGAGTTCAAACCAGCCTGGCCAAGATGGTGAAACCCCGTCTCTACTAAAAATATAAAAATTAGCCGGGCATGGTGGCAGTTGCCTGTAATCCCAGCTACTCGGAAGGCTGAGGCAGGGGCATCTCTTGAACCTGGGAGGCGGAGGTTGCAGTGAGCCGAGATTGCACCACTGCACTCTAGCCTAGACGACAGAGCAAGACTCAGTCTCAAAAAAAAAAAGAAAAAAAAAAGTGGGGAGACGAATAATCGATTCAAACAAGTGATTTACTCAAAGATGTGCCTTCTGCTCAGTAAAGACATAGATCGGGGTTAGCAAAAATGACCCACAGATCATTTTGTATGTCCTATGAGTGAATAATGATGATTACATTTTAAAAGGGTTCTTGAAGAATAAAAGAGAGGAGGTAAAAGAGGAAGAGGAAGAGGAGCTACAGAAACTGCATTTGGCCCACAAAGACTTAAATATTTAAAACCCAGAAAATGTTTGCCAAAACCTGAAATAAAGCATCTGACTGGAAGTAGGTCCTCAATAACATTGGAAAGAGGAATACATGAGTAAGTTAGTTGCTGAAAATATTGTGAAGTAATAGATATCGAGAAACATCTATGACTTCATCCCCACCCTCACAAACAATGCCATTCATTTCCATTGAGCTAATGAAAAATGCACTTTGGTTTTCAAAACAGTTAACAAAAAAGCACTGTCTTACATTAAAAATGTCAAAAAAAATTTATATAGTAACAAAAAATAAAAAGCATTTTCACAGTAATTAAAATTTTACAAAGCATTTCTATATTGATTATGTAATTTAATCTTCCAATCAACTCCATGGGATAGGTATTATTTCCCCATACAGAAATTACCATATCCTAAATCCTTAGTGACTGATTCCTCAAGAAACGTTAGAGTCTGGAATGCTACATATGTTAATACTAAGGGTAGTTTTCTCCTATGGGAAGTCTGGCTTCCAGAATGAACAGGAACTTTCAGTTCAAGGTGACAGACCAGGAACACATATTTACTTTGTGTTCCTCCTGAAATTGTACTTAAATAAAAGTATACAAGTACCAAAATTTAGTAGACCAATGAAAGCCAAGAGATTGTGGAAGTCATCAACCATAGAAAGGTCTTGATACATTTCTGGAAAAAAGTTAACTGGAAGGGAAATAGATGAAACAACCAAGGAAAGGCTATGCTAAGAAGGAGCGGCACAAAGTCAGTCTGTCCTTGCTGAACCCTGGTTACAGTAAAGGGCAGAAGATTGTGGACAAATGTGAACCTGGAAGAGCCAATTCTTCTTAATGAATCCTGTGTGGCTAACTGGGCCTAAATTTAAAATAGAGCCAAGAAGCCATTTGCTGACTAGAGTTTATAACTGCACTGGCCAATTGGAACTAAGCCAATGTCTTTCTTTCTTTCTCTCTCTCTCTCTTTTTTTTTTCTTTTTTTGAGACAGAGTCTTACTCTGTCACCCAGGCTGGAATGCAGTGGCATGATCTCGGCTCACTGCAATCTCTGCCACCTCACCCAGCGAAGTAGCTGGAATTACAGGTGTGCACCACCACACCCGGCTATTTTTTTTTTTTTTTTTTTTCTGGAGTTTTAGTAGAGACAGGGTTTCACCGTGTTGCCCAGGCTGGTCTCAAACTCCTGATCTCAAGTGATCCACCCACCTGGGCTTCCCAAACTGCTGGGATTACAGATGTAAGCCACTGTACTAGGCCAGAACTAAGCCAGTTTCAAACCTTCATTTGCCTAAAGAAACTTATGTGGGACCCTGGACAGGGAACTTTTGCTATAAAACCCAAGTCTTCCCTTTGTTTTCTGGAATGCACCTTTGTTTTGCACCAGAGGATGCAGTTTGCAAACCGTTCACTGGAACAAAGTCTCTTTCCTCCACATTCCACATTCTTTTTTCAGATAACTTTTCTTCACGAGAGAGGAGACCAAAATTATTTTAGGGAAAGAAGTTCATTTAATGAGGTTCATGAGTCAGTAAAGTGCAGAAGATTCAGTGTGTCCTCACATTAACTCTGTATGACTTACAGTGGATTGTTGGCGAGATAGTTCAACCACAGGGTGCTAGGTATGGTTTATTGTCACTACCACGATTCTATACAAAGCTGGCCACCCAGAGATTCATTTGATATGATTGGAGATTGGTGCTTTAAAAAATTATTAAATTACAAGTAATCTCAGCTGGCAATTATAAATTGTTGCTATTATCACAATATTTATGTAATTATTAAATTAAATTTTTGGAAAATATTTTGCCTTGACAGATTTCATCTCAACATGCTTGCTTCTGTCAAGTCAAACGATCTCAGAATAACCATTTGCCATCTAATGTTATTTTGCCTCACAAGGACAAGGAAGATTTTATATTCAAAAAAAGCATCTATTCCCATTTGACAAGAAAAATAAAGAGGTGGAATTTTCTGGAATACCCTTGTCCAAATTTCCTTTTATTGTCCTGAAACCCCAATATTCATTATTTGTTTAATGAATTTTTCCCCTTTGGGGGAAAATGGCTGTAATTTATTGTTTTCAAATAAGCCTGACATTTGATCATCTTGTTTCAGAGTTCTCGTAGGAAATCTTTGTCCAATATTTGTACCAGATTATTTTTGTTCAAACAAATGATATCAAGAGATTACAGTTAAATGCCATAACTTTAAACAATTTCTCTGTTCCCTGAGAGGTTAGGAAGGACTTATAATATGTCTCCTCTTTTGAAACAAAATTTGGGTCGGAGCAAAACTTTGTGTCCTAGAAACATAAGTTTTGTTGGATATGGAAGCCCACATTTACTCTGACATACTATAAAATATATGAGCAGACGGATAAAATGGATTTTGTAGTATGTTAACTAGGCTTGATGTTATTTTAAATCGATTTTTTAAACTAAAAAATACATTAAAATATTTTTTCTGATCTCTGATTCTTGGTTCTGAACCTTCCACGTATCCTATGTCTGGCACACAACATTAGCCCAAAGAGAGCAAAGCAGTCCAGTTAAATAAACCAAAGAAACAAGATTAAAACTAGATAAGGTCATGTGTAGGATTTTCCAAATCTTTCTTGTCATGCTGAAACTTCCAGCTCTTAAGACAGTAACACATATTTCCTTTGTCCTAACAACCAATATTAAGTCTCCTTCCTTGGGCATAAGCATATGTATAGTTATACTTAGGTGACAGTAATGTATAGTAAAGAGTGGACCTCGCTGGCATGCTGACAATGACCAAATTGTGTTGATCATATTTTAATCGAATACATTGCTCCACTACTAACTTGCAAATTTCTAACATATTCCAAGAGGGCCAGAGAACTGGTTTATCCATTTGGATTAATCCACTGGTGAATTTCTTTCAGGATAGGCCAAAATGGATCTGGACTATAATCTTTACATATTTAGATCCTTCAAACTAGATCAAAAAGGAAATCTGGGCTGCAAGGCTCAATTAGAAGAACAGTATGGGATGCTGCTTTGCTGACTGTTGGTGGTCACTGCCCCATGTCTTCAGAGGAGACTGGAGCCCAGTGCCTGCCATGATCAACTTACGAGGTGAAGTAAGGGCTTCCCCCTAGGCATGCATGTGCTTAGTACAGATGTGCTGTGTGCTAGGTACCCTAAGGACTACAGAAAATAATGAGAATACATGATGTGTCCATAACAAGGAGGCACACAGGCCAGAGCACAAGCTCTGGAATCACACAGCCCAGGTTCGAAGCGTGGCGAGGCCACTGCCATATCAATGACCTGAGGAGCAGCCTAAGGCTTAAATGTTGTTGCTGCTGCTGTTTGGGGTGTGTGTGTGTGTGGTTTTGTTTTGTTTTGTTTTGTTTGAGACAGAGTTTTGCTGTGTCGCCCAGGCTGGAGTGCAGTGAGGTGATCTCGATTCACTGCAACCTCCACCTCCCGCTTTCAAACGATTCTCCTGCCTCAGCCTCCCTAGTAGCTGGGATTACAAGTGCGTGCCACCACACCCAGTTAATTTTTGTATTTTTAGTGGAGACGGAGTTTTACCATGTTAGTCAGGCTGGTCTTGAACTCCTGACCTCAGGTGATCCACCCACCTTGGCCTCACAAAGTGCTGGCATTAAAGGCATGAGCCACGGGCGCCCAGCCTTAAATGTTTAAAACAAATTTGTGAAAAGAAAAGCAGTGAAGAGGCCCCGCCTGTCAGGAAGAGATGTGGTAGGGCGTAGCATCTACTCAGGACAAGGCACCATGTCCCCTCCTCGGAAACCCTCATGGCCTGGCTGGTGACCCTGGCGCCATAGAGAAGGCACACCTGGCTCCAGGCAGCACAGAGGCACTGCCAAGGTCCTGAAGGAGCCTGGCAGGATATGGGTTGTCCTGTGCTCAACTTCAAGCAGATGTACCCTCTGTGAACCGGGGAATGGGGACGGCCGACACAGGGCCACTGCGTGCGACAGCGCCGGGCCAGGGCTCCTCGAGGAACAAGCAGAGCCGGCGCCCAGGTGACGAGAGCTCTGGCGACGGGCCCGCAGGTCCCAGCAGTTCCCTCACAGAGGCCACGCGGTGCAACACGTGCCACCAGCAGCGGGGCTTCCGGGGGTCCTGGGACAGCTGGGGCCGACAGGGCGTCGCCCTTTGCCCTCTGACCCCTGCGTTTTGCGCCCCCGCTGGCGCGCCCTGGTTCTGTGAGGAACCTCGCAGAGGCGTCGCAGGCGCCCAGCCAGTCAGTTTGTGCTTGGTCGCCAGAGGAGGCGGTGGCTGAGGAGAGCCGAGTCCACCGCTGACCCTGTTGTACGGTAGGAGGCACGGCTAGCTCTAAATGGGCAATTTGTTTAGTAAATTTAGACCCGGGTGTCGCCGCCGGCCTGTACCAGGGCCAGGGCGTGGCGCCCCCGCTCCCCTGGCCCGGGACGCCTCCCAGCCCGGCCGGGTTCACCCCGCAGCCACCCCCCGCCCTTTCCGCGGCTTGTTCCGCCGGAATGCCCGTCGCAGGCCTTCGCCAGGCGGCATCTTCGTCGCCCCTAAGAGGCCGTGTCCTCTCCCGCGGGCTGCGGCCGCCCCTCTGGGGGTCCTGCCGGCTGTGGGCTGGGGGCTGGCCACGAGGAAGACACCCGTGCTGCCTACTCGGAACCCCCCGAGGTTTGGACACCCCGGCTCCGTGAGGATCCCTCCTCCCAGCCGCGCGTTCACCCTCCGGCTGCCTTCACCAAGTGAGCCGCCTGCGGTCACGGCCAGGAGGCCCATCCCAGCCACTCTCCCGGAGGAGACCGAGGTGCGGGCCCAAGAAGGGCCCAGAAGGGCAAAGACGGGTGAGGATCCGGTGCAGATCAAAGGGGAGGATGACGAGAAAAGGGCCCCCCTTAGCAGCGGAGAAGCATCGTCCACATCCAGGTCCCAGGGCACCCAGGAAGACCTCGCCTCCTTCATCTGCAGCCCTGGGCCTCTGGAGGGAAATGTCCACCACAGGTTCTCAGAAAACAGCGTGAGTGAGAAGGCCCAGGCGTCTCCAGCGAGCTCCTGCTTGGAAGGCCCTGCCACGCCCAGCACACACAGCGAGGCCGGATGTGCCTGGCATCTTGGAAAGCCTGATCCGGATGCAGCAGCGCCCCCTGAGCCAGTCGCGGGCTGCTCACTGCTGCCGCAGAAGTTGGCCGGGGAAGTGCCGAATGAAGAGCCACCGCCCAGCTCTCTAGGCTGGCCGAGTCTGCTGATGTCCGGAACGAGGATGCCTGATGGGAAGCCTTTCGGTATTCCTCCAAGGAGCGCTGCTCCTCCCAGAGCTGCCCGCAACAGGCCCTGCAAAAGGAAAATGTCGATTCCACTGCTGCTGCCGCTGCCCCCTTCACTGCCATTGCTGTGGGATCGAGGTGAGCTTCCCCCACCTGCTAAGCTCCCCTGCCTGTCTGTCGAGGGAGCCCTACACACCTTAGAGAAGAGCCCTGAGTATAAAAGGAATAGCAGAATCTTGGAGGATAAAACAGAGACCATGACAAACAGCAGCTTCACCCAACCTGCCCCTTCTTTCTCCCCACCTGTGGAGACTACAGACTCCCTGCCCCTTGCCACTTACACTGACACTTCACAGGTCCCAGCTCCTTTGCCCATCCCTGACTTGGCTGACCTGGCTACTGGACCCCTCATTCTGCCTGTCCCTCCACTTTCCACCACACCAAAAATGGATGAGAGAATAGCATTCACAATCCCTAACTCTCCTCGGGCTCTTCCTGCTGACCTTGTTCCTCTTTTGAGGGATCAATCTAATGAGAAAGGAGGCTCTTGTCATTCAGTCGTAGGAGCAGCGCCTCCCACTTCTGACCCCCCAACACCTCCTAGCCTCACACCCTTCTTCAAGCCTCCTGTCAGAAGGGAGTCCCCAATATCTATGCATGTGGATTCCCCTCCTCCTCTTTCCTTCCTGACTCTTCTTCCAGTCCCTTCCACCAGGACCTCAGTTATCACCAGCAAGCCTATGAATTCCACATCAGTCATTTCCACTATCACAACAAATACATCTGGCCACCTAACCTCACAGACTACGGTAGACCCTGAAGTAGTTAACATGGATACTACTGCCCCTTCTCAGGTTGTTATTTTCACATCTTCCCTAAGCTCCAGGGTGAGCTCACTCCCAAATTCCCAAATACACTGCAGTGCAGAGCAGAGGCACACAGGAAAGACATCAGTCTACACATCTCCACTTCCATTTATATTCCACAATACCACCCCAAATTTTAACCAATTCTTTGGAAAAGAAGCCACCCCTCAGCCCAAATCTGGGGCTCCTGATGGGCAGCAGCAGAAAGCTTCTCTCCCCGGTGCCTGTGTTTTTCTGAGCCTTCCCATCATTGCTCCTCCAGTCACCTCCACTTTAGTGAACAGTGCCTCTACAGCATCATCATCCAAGCCTCCCATTGAAACCAATGCTATGAATACCACTCCTCCCTCCAAGGCTGTCATCTTGCAGTCTGCCTCTGTCTCCAAGAAGTACCTCCCATTTTACCTGGGGCTTCCTGGTTCTGGGAACACACGACCCAGTAGCAACATTGCCTCAGTCCAAGCTTCCACCATTTTGCCTGCACAGTCAGTCAGGGGAACAACTCCAACTTCCAACTATGCTTTAAATCCAGGAGCCACCGCTCAGCCCAAATTTGGGGCCCCTGATGGGCTACAGCAGAAAACCTCTCTCCCCAGTGCCCATGATTTTCTGAGCCTTCCTATCATGGTTCCTCCAGACACCTCCACTTTAGTGAGCAATGCCTCTGCAGCATCATTAGCCAAGCCTGCCATTGACGCCAGTGCTATGAATACCACCCCTCCTTCCAAAACTGTCATCTTGCAGTCTACCTTTGTCTCCAGGAAGGAGTACATCCGATTTTATGTGGGGCTTCCTGGTTCTGGGAACATACAACACAGTGACAACATTGCTTCAGCCCAAGTCTCCACCAGTTTTCCTGCACAGGCAGGCAGGAAACCAGTCACAACTTCCAGCCATCCTTTAAATACAGAATCTATCTCTCATTCCACACTTGGGGCCACTGATGGGCAGCAGAAGTCTGACAGTTCTTTTATTCTGGGGAATCCAGCAACCCCAGCACCAGCTATAGGCTTACCATCTCCCTCAGCCCAGCCACTGAGTGGCAGCATAATTCCACCAGGTTTTGCAGAGTTAACATCACCATATTCTGCATTGGGCACACCTATTAATGCCGAGCCTGCCAAGAGTCACAACGCAAGTGCTTTCCCCAATGGCACAGCAAAGACTTCTGGATTTAGAGTTGCCACTGGGATGCCTGGCACTGGAGACAGCACCTCACTGGTTGGAAATACTATTCTAGGCCCACAAGTGATTATGGGACCTGGAACCCCTGTGGATGGTGGGAGCATTGGATTCACCATGTCTGCCCCAGGCCCCAGTTCCACATCAGGAGAACTCAGCACTGGACAAGAACAGAGTGGGACACCCAGCACCACTTCTGTTTTCCCATTTGGTCGAGTAGCCTGGGACCCAACTGGCCACAGCATGGCTGCTGCACCACAAGGGGCTAATAACATTCCTGTATTTGGATTTACTTCTGCTGCCACCTACATTCCTGGTTTGGACCCACCTACCCAGAATTCAGGCAGCGGTATGGGAGGGGATGGCACCAAACCCATGGTTGGAGGCCCTTGTGTTCCTGCTTTTCAACAGTGCATCCTGCAGCACACATGGACAGAGAAAAAATTCTACACTTCAAGCACCCACCACTATGAACAAGAAACATACGTTAGGAGACATGTCTGTTTCCAACTTCCATAAAAGCACCTGTGGTTCACCTGACCACACCACATCAGTTGTGGTTGTAAACACCAGCATTATCCCTTTGTATGGTCATGCTTCCAGTTTCACCTTCATGCCAAGTGCCTGCCACATACCTCTCCAGAACTCAGGTTGTGCACCAGGAGGCGACGACAACATCCCTGTGGTTGGAGGCCCTTGTGCTCCCTTTCTCCATCAGTAAATGTGGGGCCCACCCGGACAAAACACAGGTGGTACATCTGCAGTGAATGCCAACATATCTTTAATTGGAGGTCCTTGTGTATCCACCTACCAACAAAGTACCTAGGGCCCATCTGGACAAAACACACAGATATACATCTTCCAGGAGTGCCAACATTCATTTAATGGGAGGCCCTCATGTGCGCATGTATCAGGAAATCACCTGGGGCCCACCTGGACAAAGCACAAACCATGCCATGAGGGGCAGCAACACAATGGCTGTGACTGGTTGTGCTTTTGGTCTCCCATTCACACAAAGCATCTGAGGCCCACCTTGCTAAATGCAGGTGGTGCAATAGGAGATAACCCCAGACATTCATAGGGAGAAACCTTTAGTCTCCATTTCAGTAAAATACTATGCACCTGCCCAAGGTGCTCCTTTTGACTTTAGAGGAACCAGCATTGTTTTTGTTTTGTTGTTTGTTTGTTTGTTTGTTTGTTTTTGAGACAGAGGCTTCCCCCAGGCTGGAGTGAGCACCTGAGGCCCACCTTGCTAAATGCAGGTGGTGCAATAGGAGATAACCCCAGACATTCATAGGGAGAAACCTTTAGTCTCCCTTTCAGTAAAATACTATGCACCTGCCCAAGGTGCTCCTTTTGACTTTAGAGGAACCAGCATTGTTTTTGTTTTGTTGTTTGTTTGTTTGTTTGTTTTTGAGACAGAGGCTTCCCCCAGACTGGAGTGAGCACCTGAGGCCCACCTTGCTAAATGCAGGTGGTGCATAGGAGATAACCCCAGACATTCCTAGGGAGAAACCTTTAGTCTCCCTTTCAGTAAAATACTATGCACCTGCCCAAGGTGCTCCTTTTGACTTTAGAGGAACCAGCATTGTTTTTGTTTTGTTTGTTTGTTTGTTTGTTTGTTTTTGAGACAGAGGCTTCCCCCAGGCTGGAGTGCAGTGGCATGATCTTGCCTCACTGCAACCTCCACCTCCTGGGTTCAAGAAATTCTCCTTTCTTAGCCTCCCGAGTAGCTGGGAGTACAGGCACATGCCACCACACCTGGCTAATTTTTGTAATTGTGGCAGAGATGGGGTTCCACCTTATTGGTCAGGCTGGTCTCAAACTCCTGACCTCAGGTGATCCACCCGCCTCGGCCTCCCAAAGTGCTAGGATTACAGGCATGAGCCACTGTGCCCAGCCTAGAGGAGCCAGCATTGTTAGTTAAATACTTGTGTTTGGATGGCCCTGGTCAGAGCAACTGTGCCTGTGATGGAAAGCAGCCACTAGTGACACTTGTACCCGCCAAGGCCTTCATAGGAGCCACTAACTCATTTCTTACTTCTATCAGGGGTCTCAAGGAATAAGAAGCAATCTTCCTCCACATAAAGTTCTCATAAATTGACATTTTTTTCCAAGAGGAACAGGCTCACTTCCCTCAAGTTAAACTCAACCCGCTCTCTCCCTGCAGAAGCTGGAGGCCCAAAACTAGAGAGAGAGAGAGAGAGAAACAGAGAGAGAGAGAGAGTTTGTTGGTGAGTGGAGCAGATGAGCCCAGTCAGAACCGCACTGTATTTTAGTGGTCTTCTACACTGTATAGAGGGTAGAGGAAACGTGTGTATCATCAGCTGTACCCTCTCTGGCTTGACTGTTAACTTGGCTGACCCTACCTCTGGGACAGTTCTCTCTAGTCGTGGACAGAAAGGCAAAATTCCCAATTTTGTGGACCCTACATTCTAGTTGAAAGGGAGAGAAGAAGCAACAAACATGGAAATTATCTGGTAAATTAGCCTGTAACAAATGCTATGGAAAATAAAGAAGTACATGGCGGATTGAGATGGTAGATAGAGAAGCAGGGGTTTCAGTTTACACTATGGACAAGCCTCACTGGGAAGGTAAATTTAAAGTCTAGAGAGAGGCAGTTGAGCCAGATACATGAGCAAAGACCATTCCAGATAATAGGAGTGGTCATTGCAAAGGCCCAGAGGAAGGATCCCTGGTGTCCTCATGGAGCAGTTAGTAAGGAAAAGTGGCTGGAATGAAGTCAGCAAGTGGGAGGGAGGGATAGAGAAAAGGAGGACAGAGAATATGTGAGTGGAATTCCTTCCTCCAGTATTTACTAGTTGTGTAATTACAGTTGATTCAACCTTCAAGAGTCTCAGTGAAATCAGTACTTTTACTATGGCCTGTTTATCTCACAAGATTTTTGAAAGGATAAAATGAAATAATATGGAGAAATGACTTATAAGCCATTGTTGTAATTTGTTCTACACATAGGGATGGATAGATGGATGGATGGATAGATTAGATGCATAGACAGACAGAGAGAGAGAGAGAGAGTTGTGGACTGAATGTTTGTGTCCCTCCCCAAAATTCATATTTTAAAGCCCTAACTCCCAATGTGATGGTATTAGGAGGTGGGGCTTTGGGGAGGTGATTAGGTTTAGATGAAGTCATGAAGATGAAACCCCCATGATGGGATTTGTGCCTTTATAAGAAGAAGAAGAAATACCAGTGCTTTCTCTAATTGCCATGTGAAGGTATACCAAGAAAGTAACTATCTGTAAGCCAGGAAAAGAGTTCTCACAAGAAACAGAATTTGCCTTTATCTTGGACTTCCCAACCTTTAGAATTGTAGAAAATAAATGTATATTGTTGAAGCTACCAGTCCATGGCATTTTTTGTAGCAATCAGAACTGACGAAAGAAAAGAAGAAAGAAAGCAAGAAAGCAAGCAAGCAAGCAAGCAAGAAAGAAAGAAAGGAGGGAAGGAAGGAAGGAAGGAAGGAGAGAGAGAGATGATAGATGATTGATAGATAATAGAGAACATATATATGTACGGTCAATGACTGAGTTCCTTAGGCAATGGTGCCTTGATTGCCTTTATTAGGCAATTCAAATAGAAGAATAGAAGAACCCCTTTTTATTAGCACAAAAGCATTTAGCATTTATGAAGCAAACACACATAAAAATATGATAACAGAGACTAAAACATCTGTGAGATTAGGCCTGAAAGAAAACAATCACAGAGAAATTACTGAATTCCTCCTATCACCCTGGGGCCTGATTCATTGACTCTGAGTTGTTTAGTACAGTTCCAGAGGATCAAAGCTCCTGTTTCCTGGCCAGATAATCACCTAACTTTTGTAATCAGAACTGCCTTTCAGAAGCAGAGTGGAAATCCAGTTTTCTTCTAATAGCCCTATACCCTTGCAATATTACCAGGGACAAATTTTTAAAATTCATACTTCATGACATTTTTTAGAAAGCCTCAAGCTAAATATTATGATCCTGGTAAGACAAACTTTAAATAAATGTGTGAGAGATATAAAGATAATTTTTCTTTTCATGTTTTGATGTGCTTATACAACTGAAACTATTTCTAAACAAATAGAAATATTGTTTGATTTTTTATTAAAATAAAAAGTGAACATAATATCAATTTGAATAATACTGAAATTCAACCTTCCTACTGCAGTTTCCTCCTCCAGAGGTAGTTTTGCTACTTTCATGTTACTCCCATATTTCTGAGTTTGCTTTTTACTTCAACTGTTATGTTATCTTACAGATGACATTGTTTTTCCTAAAACTTGAAGTGCCTTCCTTTTTTTCTCCTTGAACTCTTTTCCCATTAAAAAAAAAAAAATTGGTTTTGGTTTTCTAAAATTTTCAGATAGTATTGTTTACTTGACTGCATCCCTTCCTTTTCCAGAAACCTTGAGCCTCCTCCACTGGTTTGGGAGCAGTAAGACCAAAGTAAGTGTAAAAAGTAAAGTAGAGGTTCCTCTTCAAAGACTTTCCTCCCCATCTAATAAGAAATAAATAGTAACTTCTCTTAAAAGCAAAATTTATTCAAAGACCTGTGCTAACATTCTTAAATATCTGCTATCCATAATAAAGAAATCAGTGTACTTTATGCTCTTAGCTCCCACAGTTTAGCCTAAATATTTGCCCTGGCATGTGTATACTGGTCCAAGCATTAGGTCATAGCCTGTTCCTCTTCCCTATTTAAAAGTGTTTTTACCTTTCTCAGCATTCCACAAGTTACTTCCTCCTTCCTTTGTTCTCCTCTACCTTTGCCTCTTTTAAAAAGTTCTAAGTTGCTAGCCAATCGGGACAAATGCAGAATGTGAGGTCCCGTTCCAGCCAATGGAAACCGGACACAGCAGTAGGGTGAATGCGTCAGGTTATAAATGACCCTGTCTCGTTTGTTCTGTATACTGTCATGGAAAAACTGCTGGCGAGTGTACCCTTTCTGCAGGAAGTAAAAATGGCCTTACTAAATAAATTAAATTTATGTTCAAGTGCTATTTCTTTACGGCATCGAGGAACAAGCATTTCAAATATAAGGACATGGTCTCAGAAGAAAGAGGCCTAAAGGAGCCACCCAAACTTCTTTTAGTTTAGGCCAGAAATGCTCACTAATCACTAATTTTTCAAAAATGTCTAATTCTTGCTGCATCATCCTAATTTCCTGAATCTATGGTAGAGCCAGGAATCTGGATTTCAGGCAGCACTCTAGGGAAGTGTGATGCACAGTCCATGTTTCCTATTCTTCCAAATACTGCTTCAGGCCTTACATGAGAGCTCACCAAAGTCCTCATTCATCTCATAAGATAAAAAAATGTGTACAGGATGTGGTTCAAAGCCCTAATTAGTAATAAGTAGAGTATTTCCCTCATATCTGTGTCTCATGAACTAGAAAATGGCCTGTGGAAAATTTGAGAATTTCCAACTCATGGATGCATGTCTTTCTTGCTCTAAATATCTTCACATTAGAGGCCTAGAAACTGCACCCGACTGTGAGAAGCCTGTCCAGGACCTCCCTGAACCAGTCATTGCTGTGATCCCAGGGTTATGTGATACAATGAGGGCTTGCCAAACAACAGTTCATTCTTTACCTGAGGCAGAGCTGGGAATGGCACTCTCAGAAGTCCCAGGACAGGAGTGTCATCGTCAGATGTGCCTTCCAGATAGGAAAATTGAGGCTCATAAAATCAAACAGCTGCTAAGTTTTACAGCCATGATCAAGATCCTGGATTTATCCAATGCGTGAAATGAGGTGTGGGAGGGACCAGAAAAAAAAGAAGCCAAACAAAATCTCTGCTAAAAAATTGTCTGTCTTAGGTAAATAGTACCTTTGCTTTAAATGCATACTAAGTTGTGAATGACTGATATCAGAGACTTTCTTGGAAGTAGGTTTTATAGGATGGAGGACAAATGAAAGTTTATGGCCAAAGAAAGAAGAGTCAGTGGGTTGGTGCATTGAAGTAAGTGGTTCCGAAAGCAAACTAGGTCAACTTTTTAACTGGCTAGTGAAAATGGGATTCCTTAGGCTGGGTTAAACAGAGGTTTCCTCAACTGAAACCACGAGGATACGAAAGCAAGAAGACAGGAATAAATAGGACTCCAGCAGGCAGAATAGGATTTATTCAGGGCATGCAATGTGGAGGGCCCTAATGGGAACATGACAGTGTTGAGAGGATCCCATTCTCTTGGGAATGAAGCATTCCTACAGGGAGAGTGTCTGAGACTTCCTAGCATATGTCTGCTGTGCAAGTAATTACATTGTCAATTTAATGGTTTAAAAAATATTCTGGTGAGGGGAAGCATTAGTTCAAGACATGCTGAGATGTAACCAATCAACAGACCAGAAACATTGATACTTTATGGGTGCCTTAACTCCAAACTACTAAATGACCGTGTTTTGCCATCTTTAAGCTACAGGGGTTCTGGGCTTCAATACTATATGCAGAGAATATTAACACCAGACATTGGTTGTTTAAAAATGATTATCAGGCTGGGCACAGCGTCTCATGCCTGTAATCCCAGCACTTTGGGAGGCTGAAGCGGGCAGATCACCTGAGGTCAGGTGTTCAAAACCAACCTGGCCAACATGACGAAACCCCATCTCTACTAAAAATACAAAAATTAGCTGGCCGTGGTGGTG